TTGGCGCTGGACACTTGTGTGCGGTGTACACATGTACACATCGCCAGGTTGCTGCGTGTACGTACACTTGTACACGTCGCCTACATACGGTCCGGCGCGTGTCCGAGCACAGTACATGTGAATTAAAAGTACAACAAGTATTTGTCGCAAGAGACATGTACTTATTGAAAATGTGCGACCACATGCTGTTATCTGAAAAGGTCAAAATCGAGTGACACGTGTACATGACTGCACGGTCCGGGCGGTCTTACCCATATCACGACATGACACGTGTAAAATCCCAGATTTTGGGGTTCCGGGGACGAAAGTGGCCTCTCGGAGGGTCATGCAAATTTGCATAGTTTTGCCAAGTGGAACCTTGGCCCGTAGCACTATAGACTACACAGGAAATACTGCAATTCTATTGGCCCTCAGGTCTAATGCTGCAAATCTATTGGTCGAGCGTTGTCCACGTGTGCGTCATTGGCCTTGTGATGTACTTTAAATGGCCTGTATATGCCATAATTACGTTGTTTTGGGGGTTTCAAGTGGTTTGCCATGGTTGTAATTGGTAATTGCATGGGGCCCCTGGGCGGGACACATGTATGCCGTGTACACATGTACACGTCGCCAGGTGGATTCGTGTACGTACACATGTACACGCATCCAGGTGTATGCACATGAGGGTTTACAGTTTTACAGTGTCAGACTGTTTGCGATCCTGCGCGTGTCCGAGTACAGTATATGTGAATCAAAAGTACAACAAGTACTTCTCGCGAGAGGAATACAGTTGTGCGATTATTCTGTGTACGCGTCACGCTGTATGCGAGTCTTGCGTGAGCACGCGCCGTTGCACTGTGCTCTCGTCATGGTGCGCCGTTGGATGCAAGTTCATGACAGTACTCGTGTGATTTACATGTATTCTCATGTGAGTTGTGTAGAAAGTCTGGATGCACATTGATATAACTTGCCATAATTATCTGACAGTGCTTGGCGAAATTAGTAAGGTGAGAAACAAGGATACGTATGGCGATTGTGGTATGAAAGACGTTTGCGTTGTTGGAAATAGACAAGTGCCAAGTTGTTCGTTGCACAACAATGAAGTCTGGCATGACTGGATGCAGATTAGTAAGGTGTGAAACAGTTGCATGCATAGGGCCATGGTTTACAGTCATTTGAAATGTGTAGACATAGTTGTGAGCTAATAGTTACGAATCGATTCGTAAGGTGGAAATCGAACAGTATGGTCGGGCCACAAGAGGACCGCGCTTGGTCGCGCATAGTAGAGTATGGTTTACTGGGAGTCGGAGTAGAGAGATAGTGTAGCACTCGAAGTGTATAAGTATCGCAGGAAAACGGCTTCAAAGTAAACCTCGGCACCAACTCCTTCACTCACACACATCAACCTGCCTTCTTTCTTTCCCTTGCCCCTCCGAACCTACCATTAGGTTATGGGCCCAGTCCCTCTCTGTCGTTTCACTGCATGAGTCTGTCGTTCTCGTTCCGTTGTTTCTGCCGTCGTTGTCGCTGTCGTTTTCGCTGCCGTTTCTCGTCGTTCTTTCCGCTGGTCTTCTCGCTGTTGTTGTCGCTCTCGATCTTGCCGTCGTTCTTGGTTTTGGTTTTCGCTGCTGCTGTCGTTCTTGGTCTCTTGTGTGAATTGGTTTTGGTCATCGCCCCCGCTGTCTTCGTTGTCTTCGTTCTTGGTTTGGCTTTTGTTCTTGCTGTGGTTCTTGTTGCTGTCTCTGTCTTTGGTCTTCGTCTTCGTTTCCGCTCCCGCTACCGCCGTCGTCGTCAATCTCGCATTTGGTTTTTCTTCGTTCTCTCATGCAAAGTAAGTTTTGAGTTTCTTTCCATTTCCTACACATCTAAGTGATTGTCTTTGCACGTTTTGGTGGTTCTTAAGAGCAATAATTCCAAAATCTGTTACTGACGATTATCTTCATATTCCTTATTGTGAATACCTGTTTTTACGGGGTTGTGTTAGATCTGGAATTAGTACCGGTGCGCTCTGCGCCTGGGAAGCTGGTCACCGGTCGAACGGTTCGGACATCGGAGGTCGTATTCGTTGAGGTGCTTGAGCCTGAGGATCAACCTTCGCCTCGGCTCGCGCTTCCGGGTCCGTCCTCGAGTTGCGCACCATATAGGATTCCTCGTATTCCGCGCTCTGTTCCCGCACCAATAAAGAGAACTACGCATCGACTTTCTGTTCGGAAAGCGGCTGTTCTCGCGGATAAAGAGTTTAAGCGTGAGCGCAAGAGGAATCGTAAGGTGTGCCCGCGGTATAAGCGGTATTGTAAAGTGTGCGGCATTAGTGGCAATAGTGCGAAGGCCTTTTACGACCACATTCAGTCTAGGTCTCATCGCATTCAAGTTGCCAACGCTAAGGAGACTCCGCGTTGTATCCCTTGCAATCGCGTCTTTGAGTCTCACGGGCACCTGAAGTGCCACGAGAACGGTGCCGCACACTTAAAGGCAGTTTGTGAACAGAATAGTTAGGGATTTCATCCAAATAAATTCACATATCTGTTCGCAAATTTCTCCTAGTGCAACTTCATAGTAATCATATCGAATTTCTTAGACGGGTGGGCTTGCCATTGTGTTGACTATCGGTTAACGGCTTGGGATCCCCGAACGGATTTTCGAATACTTGAAGTTTATTTGCACTAAAATGGAAGATCAAGGAGGAGGAGGATCCATCAGAATCGACAAACTGACGGACTCCAACTTCTACGTGTGGAAGCAGAAAATACAACTTCTGCTTGCTCTACGTGATGTTGACCAATACATCGTTGATGGACGAGTTCCGAGTGAGGAACGCGCGGAAGAGCGTAAGAAGTGGATCAGAGGTGACAGTAAAGCTAAAGCACTGATTGGTCTCTCCCTATCAGATGAGCATCTCGAGCATGTACGTGATGTTGATACTGCTCATGAGATGTGGGAAGCTATTGTCAACGTGTTTGAGAGGCACACTTTGCTGAACAAACTAGCTGCACGTCGTGAGTTCTACACTGTGAAGATGCTTTCCGGTGAAAAGGTGCTTGCATACATCAATCGTGTCATGCAGCTGGCAGCCATCCTCAAGTCAATGAGCGTAAACATCAATGACAAGGAGATGGCCATGGCTGTTGGAAATCTTCGACCACATGCTAAGCTCCAAGCCTGACAGATATTACACGTGTACGTCGACGAAACCTAAAATGCTTGCAAGAGCATTCTCAGGATGTTTGGTCTTCAACGTGGACACGTGTCATATTTGTACACGGTTGCACTTTCCTATCATTTCCGAGCATGTTTCAATTTTGGTGTTGACACGTGTAAGTTATGTACCTCGTGGCACTCTACAGTACATTCTGAACTTGTTTCATTTTTCTCGATTTGACACGTGTGTGACACGTATGACGTATGTGCCACAGTGGTTATTAATCGTAGTGTAAAATCTGTAATCTACAGTACAGTACATTCAGATATTATTGACTCTCAAACGGTCACAAATTGTTAGCAAGAGAGAGTGCAAGAAGGAGAGTCATTTGATTATCAACGGAGAGTGGAAGTAGGAGAGTCACTTGATTATCAACCGAGAGTGCAAGAAGGAGAGTCATTTGATTATCAACGGAGAGTGGAAGTAGGAGAGTCACTTGATTATCAACCGAGAGTGCAAGAAGGAGAGTCATTTGATTATCAACCGAGAGTGGAAGTAGGAGAGTCACTTGATTATCAACCGAGAGTGCAACAGGGAGAGTCACTTGATTATCAACCAGTGCAGTAAGGAGAGTCACGTGACCAGCCCTAATGGCTCGCATTGTATGTAGTTCGAAGAGTATAAGTAGCGCCAATAGTTGGCGACCAAGAGTAAAATGGCATCAACTTCTTTTCCCGTCAACCACCAGCAACCTTCAACCATCCTTCTTCCCTCTGCCCCGCTGACCTTTCTATAGGTTATGGGCCCAGTTCAACGCTGATCGTCGTCTTCGTTTTGGTTCAAGTTCGAGTTTCGCCGTCGTTCAAGTATCAGTTTGTTCAGCTCGTCAAGCAGAAGAAGAAGGTATCAGTTTCAGTCTCCGCTTTCGAGTTCGGTTTTTCAGTTTTTTCAGTTTTCGCCGTCGTTTCAGCACCGTTTCAGCCGATTTTTCAGTTTGGTGGTCCGTCAGTTTCCAGTTTTTGGAAATCAACTTTGTGGTCTTGCAGCTTTGTCGTGGCAGTCGTTGTGTGAGCTGTGGGTGAGCCTTCCGCTAGTCGGGAGGAAGAAAGTCCCTAGTGGCCAACGCACTGCCAAATCCTCAGTGGAACATACCCTCGCTCTTGGTGAAAGGCTGGTGCCATTGGAAATCTGACTTGAGCGAGGGTCCGACCAAGAATCGTCGAGAGACGAATTACTGATCCTCGGGGAGGATCACAGTGTACTGGTCTAGTCGATCCGCACTCTGCCTTCGGGAGGTGCGTCGGCGGTGTGGGTAACGCTCTCGGTATTAGCCCTATAGGTACGACTTCGGTCCCCTGGGTGAAGAGAATACGTGCCTAAACACTGAACCTCTCACTATACGTGTATAAGGTCGCGTACCTTGATTAAGTTCGCACGGAAGAGGGTGACCCAAGGAGTGATTGTGAACAAATCACACGATTACGACGAAGGCAGTTTCATTCTTGTGTTGTGGGAGACCCTCTGAGGCAGTACCGTATCAAGTTTGGACAAGCCGATTTAGGTTGCAGGGACCGTTCGCGGTAGTAACCAAAAGTCCTGGTTCGTCTACAGGCAAAGTTGTTGTGCTTACTCGTGGCACGTTTGATTTAGTTCACAGTCGAAAGACCCGCACTGGCCGACATATAGGGGTAGCGCCCTAAGGCATTTTTAAGAAGAATACGCTTGTTCCACTCCGCCGGGAACAAGCACCAAGAACGTTTCCGAGTAATCGCTACAAACTTCCTATACGGGTGGGCTTGCCATTGTGTTGACTATCGGTTAACGGCTTGGGATCCCGGGACGGAAGACCTTGTATACTCGAAGGGTACATCCATTCGGCGAAATGGATGACCAAAGCTCTGGATCGGTCAGAATCGAGAAGCTGACCGCATCTAACTTTTACATCTGGAAGCAGAAAATCGAGGTACTGCTTGCTCTCCGAGATGTCGATCAATACGTTTTTGATGATATATCGGAAAATGCGACCTCAGATGATCGCAGGAAGTGGATTCGTGGTGATGCGAAAGCAAAGGCAGTCATCGGACTCACGCTTTCTGATGACTACTTGCAACATGTGCGAGGGTGTAGCAGTGCGAAAGAGACATGGGAGGCGATTCTGAATGTGTTTGAGCGTCACACTTTGCTCAACAAACTTTCCGCCCGTCGCGACTTTTACACTGTTTCCATGCTCCCATCCGAGAAAGTGCTCGTGTTCATCAATCGTGTGAAGCAACTTGCTGCCAGATTGCAGTCAATGAGTGTTGAGATTGACGATAAAGAAATTGCAATGGCTGTGTTGAATGGCTTGCCTCCACGATTCGATAACTTGATTGTTGCACTTGACGCACTTGGCAATGAGGATAAAGTGTTTGGACTCGATTTTGTGAAGAGTCGTCTGCTGCAAGAAGAGCAACGAGAAAGCATGAAGACCGCTTCTGCTTCATCATCACATCCACCTGCACTTGTCAATCGTATGCCTATTCGACGTGATATGAGATGTACGAACTGTAATCGACATGGACACACCGCAGCACGTTGCTGGGGCAAGGATGTGAATGGGCGCCGACCAGCACCGCCAGACGGGTTCCGGTCCCGCAACCCCGGCATGAAGCCAAGTGCATTCGTATCTCGAGATGAAACTTCTACTGCTGCCTTTGCTGAAAGCGACTTTACATGCCTGCTTTCGACTTCTTCTCCCGAAAAGAAGGCAGTGAACGCAGGGTCATGGCTTGTGGATTCCGGTTGCAGTGCCCACATTACATTTGATCGCTCTTTGTTCGTTACTTATGAACAGATGCAATCTGGATCAGTCGAGATGGGCACGAAGGCTAGAGCTAATGTCGCTGGTCGTGGTGAGGTAGAATTCTTGTTGAACGTCAATGGTAGTCCACATCCTTGCAAATTGTCAAACGTTTTGCATGTCCCTGATTTCGGATACTCGCTTCTGTCTGTTAGCCAAATCGTTTCAAAGGGCTTGCAAGTGTCATTTGAAAAAGACAAATGCATCGTTACTGATGTTAAAATCGAGGTCTGAAAAATTTGCCGCAAAAATTCGTTAACCACTAGGCCACAGGCGCTGGCTTCTTGGTGTCCCCTTGGGCGCGCTCACTATTTCAACACTCCCCCTCGACCAGGGGACGCCAAACACACGGCGCGGGTCACTGCACAACACACAGGCAGGTACGTTCCCAAGTGTGACACAAACAAACAACAAACATTGCGCCGCCCAAGTGCACCCGGTGAGAATCGAACTCACGAATGGTAGCGTAAATCTGGGCCCATAACCTGATGTTAAAATCGAGGTCTGAAAAATTTGCCGCAAAAATTCGTTAACCACTAGGCCACAGGCGCTGGCTTCTTGGTGTCCCCTTGGGCGCGCTCACTATTTCAACAGTTACTGCAGGACCAACTCTAGTTGCCACAGCTAGTCAAGTTGGGGATTTATTCATACTTGATGTCATGAATGAAACTTTCTCTGCTCATGTAGTTACCTTGCAGACGCTACATGAACGAATGGCCCATGTTAACGTACAAGGAATCGCATCAATGATTCACAATAATGTGGTAAGTGGCATCAATGTTCGTCAAAGCGATGTGATCAGAGCAATGAATCGAAAGTCTGACAATCACTCTCTCGTTTGTCCTGCGTGTGTGTTCGGCAAAGCAACGCGATCAGTAATCCCGAAACAGCGATCATCGTCTCGAGCACAGAACTGTCTTGACTTGGTACATTCTGACGTTTGCGGTCCGCTCGAAGTACAGTCCATTGGTGGTTCGAGATACTTCATTACATTTGTAGATGATCACTCGAACTGGGTAGTTGTGTACACGATGAGAAATAAATCCGAGGCGTTTGCAAAATACAAGTTGTATGAACAGTTTGCCCAAACGCACACTGGTCGCAAAGTGAAGGTGCTTCGCACTGATCGAGGGGGAGAGTACTTGTCGACAGAATTCAAGTCATATTTGGATTCAAACGGTACCCAGCACCAGCTCACCACTGCCTACACACCTGAACAAAACGGTGTTGCTGAACGTTTAAATCGAACCTTGATTGATCTTGTCCGTTCCATGCTTTCTCATAAACAGGTCAGTAAACGATTCTGGGCAGAGGCTCTTGCCACTGCAGTATATGTACGCAATCGAGTTACTTCACGGGCTTTGCCAGTTAACACGACTCCCCATCACATTTGGATGAAGTCAACTCCAAATGTTGGCCATTTGCGAGTATTTGGGTCAAAGTGTTGGTATACATTACCGAAATTAGAGCTCCGTAAGCTTGACTTGCGAGCACGTGAAGCGATGTTTCTCGGTTATTCGCAATGCAGTAAAGCATACAAACGTTGGGACGGAGAGTTGAGTAAAGTTGTTGTTTCACGAGATGCCAAGTTTGATGAATCGACATGTGGGATGCATGACATTCCTGCACATGAAAAAGATTCAATCAGCTCTGACGTTGGCGTTGTATTGCTCGGTGGCGACAATGAGAATGAAGCCGATACCCCAAATGCTAATGAGGTTGGGTCGGAAGAGGATGAAATTTCAGGGGAGGTTATTGAAAACGAGGACACTCACTCTGTAGGTGAGAATGATGAAGATGATGTATCACCTCCCGTCGAAACTCCGAATGTCACCCCTCCAACTCCGACTCCAGCTGTACGAAGATCGTCTCGAATCAGTAGACCTCCCGGATCATGGTGGAGGAGCAACTTGTTGTAATTCTACGACCACATGCTGATATGCATGACAAACGACGACAGGTATGACACGTGTAAAATCGAAAACACTCCGCGTGACGAGCTGAGCAAGTTTCATTTTCAACGTGTACACGTGTGATTTCTGTACACGGTTGCACTCTACAGTACTTCAGGAGCAAGTTTGGTTTTCAACCTGTACACGTGTGAAATATGTACACGGTTGCGGTGTACTGTACAATCTGAGAATGTTTCATTTTCTCCGCCCGACACGTGTATGACCTGGACACATGTCCTCATTACACTGTCGGACGCGTACAGTACGGCTGCAGTCTTACAGACAAAGTGTAGAACCTTGGTGGCGGGTGCCTGGCACGTGCCAAATGTTTACAGCGTCCATAGATTGCAGCACGGCTACAGCAGGACACAAAGATACCGTTGCGCGAGTTTTGAATTCGTAAGGCAAAATGTGCACTGTTGTAATTGACAGTGGACAGGACCTCACGAGAGATTCAGATTCATAAGGCAACGTGTGCGCTGTAAACAGTCCTTGCAGGATTGATTTGAATTCGTAAGGCAACGTGTGAGCTGTAAACGTGCCTTACGAATTTGTGCCACGCTGGATTTGGAATAGTAAGGGAATTTGTGCTTTGCTGTGCTTTGTTGTACTGCCTTACTAATTTCTCCGTCATGACAGTGGTAATTCGTAAGGCGGTTTTCTGTTCTGTTTGTTGGGCCATCGCCAGTTTGGCTGAGTAGCAAGACGGGCACATGTGTTAGAGCCAATACATTTGTAGTATGTGTGTCGTAGTGTTTGGTAGTAGAGTTCTAGAAGATTGCAGAAGTGTATAAGTAGTGCCAGAAGTTGGCGACTCAAAGTAAATCGGTACCCAATCCTTCAACTTCACCTCATCAACCGTCCTCCGATTTCCCTTTGCCCCGCTGACCTACCATTAGGTTATGGGCCCAGTTCAACGTTATTGTTCCGCTGTGTGAGTGCTCGTTCTCACTTTCTGCTGCCGTTTTCGTGTTTGTTTCTGCTGTCGTTCTCGTTTTGGTCCCCGCTGTCGTTCTCGTTTTGGTTTCTGCTGTCGTTTCCGCCGCCGTTTCATCGCCGCCGCCGTTCGTTTTGTTCTATCGCCGTCTACTTGCTGTCGTTATCATCTTGGTCGTTCGTCTCCGTCTACCCGCTGTCGTTTCAACTTGGTGGATTTTCTTCGTGTCTGTTGCAGCTTGGTCTTGGCAATCGTTGTGTGAGCTGTGGGTGTAGTCCCTAGTCGCCAACGTACCATATCAATCCAAGAAGACTGCCCTTCGATCACGCCGGTGATCGTCGTAGCTGCCGATACCCTCGCTCTTGGTGAAAGGCTTGTGCCATTGGAAATCTGACTTGAGCGAGGGTCCGACCAAGAATCGTCGAGAGACGAAACACTGATCCTCGGGGAGGATCACAGTGTACTGGTCTAGTCGATCCGCACTCTGCCTTCGGGAGGTGCGTCGGCGGTGTGGGTAACGCTCTCGGTATTAGCCCTATAGGTACGACTTCGGTCCCCTGGGTGAAGAGAATACGTGCCTAAACACTGAACCTCTCACTATACGTGTATAAGGTCGCGTACCTTGATTTAGTTCGCACGGAAGAGGGTGACCCAAGGAGTGATTGTGAACAAATCACACGAGTACGACGAAGGCAGTTTCATTCTTGTGTTGTGGGAAACCTCATTGAGGTAGTACCGTATCAAGTTTGGACAAGCCGATTTCGGTTGCAGGGACCGTTCGCGGTAGTGACCAAAAGTCCTGGTTCGTCTACAGGCAAAGTGTTGTGCTTACTCGTGGCACGTTTGATTTAGTTCACAGTCGAAAGACCCGCACTGGCCGACATACAGGGGTAGCGCCCTAAGGCATTTTTAAGAAGAATACGCTTGTTCCACTCCGCCGGGAACAAGCACCAAGAACGTTTCCGAGTAATCGCTACAAACTTCTTATACGGGTGGGCTTGCCATTGTGTTGACTATCGGTTAACGGCTTGGGATCCCGGAACAGAAGACCTTGTATACTCGAAGGGTACATCCATTCGGCGAAATGGATGACCAAAGCTCTGGATCGGTCAGAATCGAGAAGCTGACCGCATCTAACTTTTACATCTGGAAGCAGAAAATCCAGCTACTGCTTGCTCTCCGAGATGTCGATCAATACGTTTTTGATGATATCCCGGAGAATGCGACGTCAGATGACCGGAGAAAATGGATCCGTGGTGACGCAAAAGCAAAGGCAGTCATCGGACTTACGCTTTCTGATGACTACTTGCAACATGTGCGAGGGTGTAGCAGTGCGAAAGAGACATGGGAAGCAATTCTGAATGTGTTTGAGCGTCATACTTTGCTCAACAAACTTGCCGCCCGTCGCGACTTTTACACTGTATGCATGCTCCCATCCGAGAAAGTGCTCGTGTTCATCAATCGTGTGAAGCAACTTGCTGCAAGATTGCAGTCAATGAGTGTTGAGATTGACGATAAAGAAATTGCAATGGCTGTGTTGAATGGCTTGCCTCCACGATTCGATAACTTGATTGTTGCTCTTGACGCACTTGGCAATGAAGATAAAGTGTTTGGACTCGAGTTTGTGAAGAGTCGTCTGCTGCAAGAAGAGCAACGAGAAAGCATGAAGACCGCTTCTGCTTCATCACCACATGCACCTGCACTTGTCAATCGTATGCCTATTCGACGCGATATGAAATGTACGAATTGTAATAGACATGGGCATACTGCAGCGCGTTGCTGGGGCAAGGACGTGAATGGGCGCCGACCTGCACCGCCAGATGGGTTTCGGTCACGCAACACTGGCTTAAAGCCAAGCGCATTCGTTTCTCGAGATGAAAATTCTACTGCTGCCTTTGCGGAGAGTGACTTTACTTGCTTGCTTTCGACTTCCACTCCAGAAAAGAGGGCTGCAAACGCAAGGTCATGGCTTGTGGATTCCGGTTGCAGCGCTCACATTACGTTTGATCGCTCTTTGTTCGTTACATATGAACAGATGCAATCTGGATCAGTCGAGATGGGCACGAAGGCTAGAGCTAATGTCGCTGGTCGCGGCGAGGTAGAATTCATGTTGAACGTCAACGGTAGTCCCCATCCTTGCAAATTGTCAAACGTTTTGCATGTCCCTGATTTTGGATACTCGCTACTGTCTGTTAGCCAAATGGTTTCAAAGGGTTTGCAAGTGTCATTTGAAAATGAGAAATGCCGCGTTACTGCAGGACCAACTGTAGTTGCTACAGCGAGTCAAGTTGGGGATTTGTACATACTTGACGTCATGAATGAAACTTTCTCTGCTCACGTAGTTACCCTGCAGACGCTACATGAACGCATGGCCCATGTTAATGTACAAGGAATCGCATCAATGATTCACAATAATGTAGTAAGTGGCATCAACGTTCGTCAAAGCGATGTCATCAGTGCAATGAATCCGAAGTCTGACAATCACTCTCCCATTTGTCCTGCGTGTGTGTTTGGCAAAGCAACGCGATCAGTAATCCCAAAACAGCGATCATCGTCTCGAGCACAGAACTGTCTTGACTTGGTACATTCTGACGTTTGCGGTCCGCTCGAAGTACAGTCAGTTGGTGGTTCGAGATACTTCATTACATTTGTAGATGATCACTCGAACTGGGTAGTTGTGTACACGATGAGAAATAAATCTGAGGCGTTTGCAAAATACAAGTTGTATGAAAAGTTGGCCCAAACCCACACTGGTCGCAAAGTAAAGGTGCTTCGCACTGATCGAGGGGGAGAGTACTTGTCGACGGAATTCAAGTCGCATTTAGATTTAAACGGTACGCAGCACCAACTCACATCGGCGTACACTCCTGAACAAAACGGTGTTGCTGAACGTTTAAATCGAACTTTGATTGATCTTGTCCGCTCAATGCTTTCTCATAAACAGGTCAGTAAGCGATTCTGGGCCGAGGCTCTTGCCACTTCGGTATATGTACGTAATCGAGTTACTTCACGCGCTTTGCCCGTCAATACAACTCCGCACCACATTTGGATGAATTCCACTCCAAATGTTGGCCATTTGCGAGTATTTGGGTCAAAGTGTTGGTATACATTACCAAAATTAGAGCTCCGTAAGCTGGACTTGCGAGCGCGTGAAGCGATGTTTCTTGGGTACTCGCAATGCAGTAAGGCATACAAACTTTGGGACGGAGAGTTGAATAAAATTGTTGTGTCACGGGATGTCAAGTTTGATGAATCGACATGTGGTATGCATGACATTCCTGCACACGAAGGTGATTCAATCAACTCTGATGTTGACGTTGTACTGCTCGATGGCGACAATGGGAATACAGCTGATACCCCAAATACGGATGAGGTCGGTTCTGAAGAGGATGAAGTTTCGGAGGAGGTTCTTGAAAGCGATGGTGCTCATTCTGTAAGTGAGAATGATGAAGATGAAGATGCTGTACCAACTGCCGTCGAAACTCCGAATGTCACTCCTCCAACTCCGACTCCAGCTGTGCGAAGATCGTCTCGAGTCAGCAGACCTCCCGGATCATGGTGGAGGAGCAACTTTGCAGCTGCTCTTCTTTCACATGCGCATGTCGCTATTGAAGGTCCCAAGACTTTCAACCAGGCAACCAACGGTCCTAGAGCTGCATTTTGGCAGACCGGCATTGACAAAGAACTTGCCTCGCAGACTAAGAATCGGACTTGGAAACTTGTTCCTCGATCTGAGGCGTCAAACATCTTGACATCTCGATGGGTTTTCAATGTCAAGCAACTGCCTGATGCAAATGGCAATATAGTTGAAAGTGCAAAAGCCAGACTTGTTGCTCGTGGATTCCAGCAAGTGCAAGGTCTTGACTATACTGAGACATATGCCCCTGTCATAAAGTTTACCACTATTCGTCTACTTCTTGCCTTAGTTGCTCATTACGACCTCGAACTTCATCAGATGGATGTCGTGACTGCGTTTTTGAACGGCGACTTGGATGAAGACATCTACATGGAGCAACCCGAAGGGTGCATT